TGGGCAAAGCACAGATAACTCTTTGCTTAACTTTGTCCTTAATAACAAACAAACAAACACATTCATGTTAGAGTAGAATCATGATCTGTGACGTCATCTCTAAAATATAAAGTTTTAATTTACATGTTCTTGAAAAGTTTACTCGTGTTCTGTGTTAGATATCAAAGAATCGTCTGCAATGAGCTGGATATCACTTACCAGAAGTTCGTTATGTCTTCTTACACAGAACCACCGATTTTACAACCCTCTGAGTTTCCTAGTGACATTGAGCTGGGTTCGAGAGTACAAATCATGTGTTATCTCAAGAAAGGTGATTTACCAGTTACCTTTACATGGAACAAAGATGGAAAACAACTATTGACCAACGAACGAGTCACTGTCTCCAGTTTAGATACTTTCACAAGTAATTTAAGAATCCAGAGAGTTATTTCTGAAGACGTAGCCAACTACTCCTGTACAGCCGCTAATTCAGCAGGATCTGACAGTTTTACAGCGGCTCTTATCGTTAGAGGTAATGTTATCTAAGGTATCATATAGTAAATAAACAAGATCTGACATTTTTACAGCTGCTCTGATCGTAACAGATAATGTGTCCTGAAGTGACACATTCTAACATGTTTGTCGTCAAATGTAGTTAGTGGATATTAGTATAATATTCTGTTTATTTAAGTGATTTCAGTTTACTTACATGTTATTACAACGTTGTTCAAGTTATCATAAATCCAGTTTACTTACATGTTATTAAAACGTTGTTCAAGATATCATAAAGCCAGTTTACTTGCATGTTATTAAAACGTTGTTCAAGTTATCATAAATCCAGTTTACTTACTTGTTATTAAAACGTTTTCAAGTTATCATAAATCCAGTTTACTTACTTGTTATTAAAACGTTTTCAAGTTACCATAAATCCAGTTTCCTTCTGAACAGCGCCACCTTTCTGGAAACAACAACCAGAGAACACGGTCCAGGCTATCATAGCTACACGAACGTTGATTGGTTGTTCTGTCGGGGGATATCCTGCTCCTAGAGTCACCTGGAAAATAAAAAGTTAGTTACTACAAAATGCCGTTATTTTTATAGAAGTTTTCATTTTATATTTCTGTCACGTTACACAATAAATAATTAATAAAATATATTTAGCGATAATTAATAAATAACGTAATACAAACAGCGTCTATTGTACAGAGATTTAAAACGAATATTTTAATTTTCTTAGTGCGAGTGTTAGAAATTGTTTCTGTTCAATTAACATATTCTTCCATCTTTTAATAAACGTTCCTGTTGCAATTTTAGAATAATAGTTCATAAAACGTTGTCTAGATGGCGGTACAGAATACCTTACAATAACTACCAATATTCTTCAGATCCTTCAGGCTCCTTCACTCCAGTCTCCAGGAGCTACAAGATGAAAGTGTTGGACAACGGAACATTGGTGATTAACGACGTTAAGGAGACAGATTCAGGAACGTACCTGTGTCAGGCTGATAACGGAGTGGGGGAAAAGTTGGAGAAAGCTGTCCGTCTGTCTGTCCACGGTAATACTTCTTATTCGAGTGGTGGTTTAGAAAGTCCCCGAGTATTCAAAGATTATTAAGTCTGATAAAAAATACCTTGTTAAACTAACTGTTAAGCCTTTTGTGGTTAGTTGATACTAGTAACAACTTTATTTAACTAACTATTAAGCCTATCGTTACTAATTACCAGTAACAACTTTATTTAACTAACTGTTGAGCCTATGTTGGTATCGTTACTTGTTACTAGTAACAACTTTATTTAACTAACTGTTAAGCCTATCGCTACTTGATACT